GACGCTCTCCAACACCGAGTGATAGAACATGGTCAGCATTTTCCTACCAACATTGAAGGACCTGAGTCGCCTCAGTAGGAAAAGCCGACTCTGCCCTTTTTTGAAGATAGCATTGGTGTTCTTGGTCCAGTCCAGTTTACAGTCCAAGTGTACCCCCAGGTACCAGTAGTCCTCAACTATCTCCACATCAGCCCCTCTGATGATGACAGGGTTAGGAGGAGGAGCCTGCTTCCTAAAGTCCATAATCAGTTCCTTTGTCTTTGTGATGTTAAGTTGTAGGTGGTTTAGCTCACACCACTCAACGAAGCTGTCGACCACACTCCTGTACTCCTCCTCCTGTCCATCCCACAGCCCAGAAATTCTCTGATGACTCTGCCCACAGGCAGAGTCATCCGAGAATTTCTGCAGATGACATGACTGAGACTTGTACCTGAAGTCAGATGTGTAGAGAGTGAAGAGGAAGGGTGATAGGACCGTCCCCTGCGGCGCGCCTGTGCTGCTCAGGATGTTATCTGAGCGGGAGCTCTTCAGTTGGACATGCTGTGGTCGACTTGTTAAATAGTCCGTAATCCAACCAACCACTGGGGCATCCACCTGCATTTCTGTGAGCTTATTCCCCAGCTGTGATGGTCTGATTGTGTTAAAAGCACATGACCCTCACAGTGCTCCCAACAATGTCCAGGTGAGAATAAGCCTGGTCCAGCAGGTAGATGATGGCATCCTCCACGCCGATACGAGGTTGATAAGCAAACTGCAGGGGGTCCAGCCAAGGCTCCACCAGAAGACGCAGATGTTTCAGGATGAGTCTCTCCAGCGTCTTCATGACATGTGAGGTCAGAGCCACTGGCATGTAGTCACCGGGGGTCGATGGGTTGATCTTTTTAGGGACAGGAAGCAGGCAGGATGTCTTCCAGAGTGATGGGACTCGGCATTTCCAGACTCATGTTGAAGAACTGTTGTAGAACTCCAGACAGCTGGGAAGCACAGCACCTGAGGGCCCTGGGACTGACACCATCAGGGCCAGCAGCTTTGCTGGAGTGGAGTCTGCCCAATTCTTTTTTGATGTCATCTGCTGAGAGGGACAGGGTGAGACAGTCTGAGGGGGCAGGAGAGGGGGGAGGCGAAAGGAGAAGATGGGAATAGCTGGGTGTGGAGACAGGAGACGCAGGGCAGTCAAACCTATTGAAGTGCAGATTAAGGTTGTTAGCACTTTTGACGTCCCCATCCATCCCAACACCTCTCTTTTGTCTCAGGTCCGTGATAGTCCGCATTCCATTCCACACCTCCCTGGTGTTGTTTTCCTGCAGTTTGCTTTCCAGCCTCCGTCTGTAGGACTCTTTACCCTCTGCAATCTTGGCTTTCAGCTCCTTCTGCACCAGTTTCAGCTGAGCTCTGTCACCATTTTTGAAAGCTCTTTTTTTCTTGTTTAAGGTTGCTTTGATGTCTTTGGTAACCCAGGGTTTATTGTTGGGGAAGCACAGAATGTTTTTTTTGGGGACCACAGTGTCCACACAGAATTTGATATAATCTGTTACACAGCCTGTCAGATTGTCAATATTGTCCTGATTGGAATCACAAAGAACATCCCAGTCAGTTGACTCAAAGCACCCCTGCAGAGTCTCTTCTGACTCCCTTGTCCATGTCGGAAGAGACTTGTGACATTACCAATAAGTTTGATGTGTCACCTGGCCCTCTTCCTATTGAAAAACGAAAAGTTGTGTCCAAGATGGCCAACTTCTAAATGGCCACCATGGTCACCACCCATCTTAAGGAGTTTGCCCCCTCACATATACTAATGTGCCACAAACAGGACTTTAATATCACCAACCATTCCCATGTTATTGCGGTGTATCCATATAAATGGCCCACCCTGTATATCAAGTTCTTTTTCCTTTGAGGGGTTTTAATTCTCTAAAATGTTATCCCTGTTACATTTTAATCTTTGTTCCCCTAGGACACAGTAGTGTTTAGTAGTTGTACTTGTTACTGTATTATTAAAGTTATAGGAATGTCTTCTTCTTTCTTTTTTTTTTATACAAAGCTAATATTGTATCAAAATTACAGATATGGATATGTATATCAATTTCTTTTTATTTGAACTTTCTTAGTCTTTCCAAAAATTTTCTTCATTCATTTAACCTCGATTAAATTTAAATCCTTCATTCATATTTAATTTGTTGCTGTGATAATCCCTTCTCTTAAATCCTTTTCTCCCAAAACTGCAAATAATTTTACAGCAGTCTCTCTCAAAACTTCCAAAATGAACTAAATCTGTCAACCTGCTTTGAAACAACCCCTGCTATGACTTTATGTTCAGAAATAAGAGACTTAAGCTAAACTGGTTTTGGCCTGTACTTCCATGTAATACCAGTTTGTACCAGAAGATGGAGGTGTGAGTCAGTGCAACCTTTCTTTAATTAGGCAAAGAACACATTCTTATTCACACAACAGAAATGTTGAAGCAAAACAGCAGCACGCATCTGGACCATTTTAAAGATCACAGGTGACTACTTTTAGTTCATTCAAATTCTATTAAACCTCTATTTTTGGCTCCTCCTTTAACTTTAGTGTATTTACTGTGTCCTTGAAGTCCACATCTTGTTTTGCAGCTGTTTTCTTGTTGATTTGAAGTTTGTATTATGAAATCCTGATAATGTTAAAGCATTAGTTATATTTGATGAACTCTGTGTAAAGTTTATCTTATTAAACAGTTTGTTGTGAAAAATAAAGAAATGGTCTCACAACAAGTAGTGTGACCCATAATTTCAGATTCAAAGTAATTTAACTGTTTTCAGTCGTACATGTGGAAGTTTATCACAAGAGGAGACTGGGCTGTTCTCCACGCACACTGAACAGGGTTCCTGCAGCTCATTAAAAACTCTGAAATGATCTTCAAGGACAAAAATTTTGATTTTTCTCAAAAACGTGCTGTGGGCATGAAGTTTTCAGACAGTGTGTTTAAGAGTTATTGTGGTTAACATCTCACACATTCCAATAAATCAGATGTTCCTGTATTGCAACAGTGGTTTGCAGATGTATTCTCCCTCCTGCCTGTCTGCAGGACTCTCATGGAGCACCACTTTGAAATGCGGCCTGGCGTGAAAGTATGTTTATGGCCCTACATGTTGCCTGAGCACAATAGATAAATTGTGTAAAAAGAATTGGCTAAAATGGAGAAAATGCTGTTGCCTTAGGAGGAAATGAGGATTTGTTCCTCAGTGTTTGGTCTCCTTTGCCTATCTGTTTGCCAGCTGATTGGTCCCAGCTGTTGAGAGGGGCCGGTTGTCCTTAAGGTGCTTCCAGGTAATTAAGAAGTGAGCGCAAGGTTTTATACAGTACTGTAATGATTAATGTTCCCTGTAATTTTTCATGTGTTTGAGCGAACGCACAAACTCCCTGAGCAATCCCTTGTGATCCCACTGTGAGCAACAGCAGACGTGTTCACACCAGTTTCGAATCCATCCAAGTTACATGGTTTATTA